CTTAATGTGCCTAACAACTTGACTACCATCTCCTTTACACCAATTGTGCCAGTGGGGATTCGAACCCCCAGACCTGAAGGGTTTTATACCTAGGATGCCAACCAACAAATCGGGGTATATTGAAGTTTAGGTGTTAAATATGTAAATAAATTTGAGTTGTATGTATGCAAATCTTCTAAATACAAAAATAGGTGCTGTGCATTGCCAAAAATGATCCAACTGTATTTTTAGGATCATTTTAATGGGCCGAATCAGCCCAACAAACATCGGGGGGTAAAAGCAAAATTTGTGGTGGTAGATCTGAAAAGTGATGGAATTAGATTTACAACAAATGTAACACGTTACTAATTAGTTGAATTTTATATTAAAATCATCGAAGATTATATTACGATTATAAGGTGTGGTAAAGCAACTTTCTAATTTCATGCATCAAAATTTTTATGTTTACTATTAGAAATTTTTAACCTTAAAACATTCATATCACCAAATATCACTTCACGAAATATCACTACGTGAGATTCGTAATATTTTTCTCTCATGCACTCTTCGTATTTCTAAAAATGTTCATAATCTTCTCTATTATAAAATAGTCTCCTTTAGTAATCGTTCAAATTCATTTGATGACACCAGATACACCGAATAAAATGTCCGCAACAGATCATGTCGTAAAGTTACATACCTCATCTCTAATTTTTTCATTGTTTCAACCTTCATCCAAGTGACTTGCTATGCTATCACAACCATTGGTGTCTGCACGATGACATTGTCGACTTGGGAATCTAATTACTTCATTTTATCTTTTCTAACTAGACGACAATGTCTATATGTACTCCCACATCTTGTTTTACAAGTACTTTTGGTTGTCTTCCAAGGAATGACAAACTCTCTTCCTCCTAATCAACTTTAGCTACGTCAAAGTTATTTAAAGCTGTGCATCACTCATCTGCCATTATAGATGACTGATGAAGTATTGGCTAAGAGACTAGTCCAACTCTTGCAAAATTCAACGTTCGATTTATTGTTGTATTTGACAATGCATGTTTTAGCTTTATGTCGTTATAATTAGATAATATTTTTAAAAAAAAAATCACTATACATTATCTATTACGTACTCAACATGAAATGACCTCAGTATTCAGCTATCTAAACACCTGAATTTTCATATTAAGTTTATATCGTAAATCTATATGTAAGACGACGTAATTCGCTTTTAAAAATTAATAATAGTGATATACCACCAACAAATTTTCATCATCCAACACGAATCTCGAGGCTTGATACGAATCTCGAGATGATATTTTAAGTAAGAAATATTCAAATCTTGATAAAAAAAAACATCTAGAGCTCCGATTTCAACAAACTTATAGTCAAACTGAACTGTTCAATAAGATCGACCTAATGATATGAAAACTAGTACAATCCAAGTCAAATCAAGCCCAAATCAAGTCATTAAACCATAGTTAGACGATTTATGAATAAATTTGGAAAGTCAAATGACTGTCAAATATGACAAGTTTAAACTAAAATCGAGTGGCTCGACAAGAAGAATACAACAAGCCTAAGATCACTCAATTCTAACATCATTAAGACACTCAAATGTCCATTAAACTTCGTATGATCAATGGAAGCTCTCCGGACCGTCCGATCAAAATGATTCATAATTCTGCATTAATTACACCCAGAACATTATAAATAGTCCTATCCCTCTCATGAGAGGAGGAGAAGTCTAGAAAGAGCCTGAGATCTTGAGGAGAAGCTGCAACTCAGCATCACCACCAGTCGTCGTCGACCATCGACCTGGCAGCCCCCGCCCTCTGTCGTCGACCGCCATCGATCGCCGATGACCACCGCCTACCTCAGACGACCACCGCCGATCGTCATCAACCTCCACCTACCGTCAACAATCACTACCAAACGGACGTCATCAGCAAAATTGTAATATGAAAAATATAATTATCATTTCCCGTCTGTGGGACAAGAGATTTCTGTAATCATCAATCAATAGTGGATTTCCGCAACTGGGTCAGACCCCGTGTCTATTCCCTAATGAATTTTACACGTAAAAACTTCTAGAATCAGCACCGTTTTTCTTTATTTCATCTGTGTATGTGTTGAACTTTCGTACAACGCTAATAAGATAATTTGTTACTCTGCCACCGCGAATTTTCTAGCATGCATTAAATAGTAATGTATTTTTACGTCATATTAAAAATTTTAGTGAATTGCATGTGGTTATCAAAGTTTAGATAATGGTAGATATGCAAATACATGAGAATTATGTGATATTTATGTAAATGCCCTAACAAAAACTTTATTTCAAAAGATTTTTTAAAATCTAACCCCTCCGTTCTTTCAAGGAAACTTCATATGCTTATTATTATTATTTTTTAATTATTTAATTTACATATTAAGTCATAAGATTTGGAGTTTTGTAAATTCTAGAGTTTCAACCAAAACATGCGACGGTGACGTCCGAATATCAAATTCCTTTTTAAGTTCAATACAAGGAGACATATTTATTGAAGTCTATGGATATAAATATTTATTTGCAAAAAAAAAAAAAGGGGCATTTACATTCTTACCACTCAATTCCTATGTTTTTACATATCTAACTCCTACATTATACTTTTACATTTATAATTTCCAAGCCTTTCCTATCACATGAAAATATCATCATTTTAAGTTCTAAGAAGTGAGATAAACTTTTTGGTGTGGTGGTATTTATGTAAAATAGAAGTTTGGGTGGTAGATATATAAATACATAGAAATTTAGAGGTATGTTATTTTATAATATAAATAATAATGTCAAATTAGGCCTTCTAATTTAATTTATTTCGTATTTGCCATATGTGAAGTGTACATCACGCATAATAGCCCACATACTATCCAAAAAAAATGTGGCATTTACATAAATAGTGCATAATTATTTTGTATCTATATATCTCACGCTTAAGTTTTAGTATGTATGCATATAATATTCAAATATTTAATATCACATAAAATTAGTATGTTTTAGAGTTACTTTTCTAGTCGCATGCAGTTAGCAGAGTGACGGTGGTCGGATAGAAGTGGTTGACTGAACATGGTCGATAGAGGGAGGACGAGTGTCGCCAGAGTTAACTCGGTCAGCTAAACTGGTGTCTGGGTCTGTCATCTAGACGGGTCACTCTTCCTGGCTACTGGTCATCCAGGTGGGGTGGGTCGTCCTGATTGGTTTGATTGGGACCTCGCCTAGCTGAACTGAAGCTGGCATGGCCAAACTTAGTCCTCAGTTCTTTTCCTTATATTGCTCCTCTTCTTATTGGTGGCTTGATCCACGTTTATTGCACCATTTAGGATGTAAGAATGTTGATCTATATGTGAGTCACACCCAAGAGAATAGAGCATAAGAAAGGAGAAAGAAACAGACAGAGAGAATAGTGCACCATGAAATGAACATTAATATGGAGTAATTGGAGAATTCTAGGGCCTTTCCCGCCTGTTTTATTCATAAAATGATTCCCTGCTTATAGGAGAGAAGGTACAATATCTGAAGTTCGATGTTTGCTCTTACTTTACTGAGGGGTGTTACATGGGTATTTCTTTTATTTTGCATATATGATCTTCTCGTTTGACTTCTTCCTAGCTCGGCTAACTAAGATTAATTAGCTTTGGGTAAGCCGGGTCAGCTCGGTTGGCTAAGTTAGGTTGGTCTTACAGGTCAGGTCGCTCATCTAGGCTTCAGGTCATCCAGGCTTCAGATCATCGAAGTAGTGGGTCGCCTCGACTGTGGCTTGTCACTCTTTGAGAGATTTAGTCTGATATACTTTTGTTATAGGGTATGCCCATACATGATCTTAAATCTCCAACTTATGATTATTCCATAAAGCACGACAATTGTATATATATCCATTTTAATGATTCTTCAATTCAAATTTCCTCGCTTTAGATTAATCATATCATTTTTTTAAATTTACAATCAAAAGTGAATTTTATTAAATTTACTTATTCAGTTTGTAATTACATACTAAAAATTTGTCATTACATTTTAACTAATACATTACACATTCGAACAAGATTATCATTACATAATTATTTTTGCATCATAATAATAGATTATAGGAGAATAAATAAACACAAAAACCAAATAAAAAATCTTCAATTCATCTCATTCAATCAAAACTATCGTTACATACTCAATATTTTAATTTTCTTGTAGGGCTCAATAAATGTTAGGGACATTTGCATACATGCGGCCGTCTCCTATTTATTTACACATCTAACACTAAAACTTAATGTTTTGCATTTATATAAGTCTAGTTTTTCATATCACATCAAAAATATAATCATTTTAATTTAAATAAAATGAAATATGTATTTTCATGAAAATATAAGGTAATATGTACGTAAAAATTGAAATTTAGGCGTTAGATATGTAAATACATAGCACTTGAGGGGTATATATGCAAATCTTCCAAAAAATTTTCGAAAATATAGCGGGGCTAAGCAACGGCTGGGATGCCACGTGTGCACTTGAGGGGTATGTATGCAAATCTTCCAAAAAATTTTCGAAAAGATAGCGGGGCTAAGCAACGGCTGGGATGCCACGTGTACAGCTACAATTGCAACCGAGACAATCGAAACCCTCAATGCGTACAGCCGCAGGACTGGGGCCGAACCGGGTTCGATCGAACCCGGTTTGGGGGTTTTCTGAACCGGACTCTGAAACGCATTGGGCCGGTCGAAGCGGAATGGTCTCGCTGAACCGGGTGTCGAGAACAACCGGGTTAGCGGATCGCGTTGGTGGCGAACCGCAGAAGAACGGCTGAAGCGGGTCCGATTGCTCAAGAGGCTCACCAGCTACCTGCCAAAGAAAAGCATATCAGTGCATCACAACCGTTGGATCAAAATCACGTGGTATTGAACAAAAGTAATGAAGTCATAACGAATCTTAAAGCTGTTAGAAGTTAGAAGTACTAATACATCTTGTTAAAAGGTCTTTTTTTTATAATAATTATATGACAAAAAAATTTGTATATATTTTTGTGCATAATATCTTTATTTATTTATATAATATCTTTATATATTTAACCTTAATTTTCATGTTTACTTTAACATTTTAATTTTTAAATCATATAAAAGATTTCATTATAATTAATTTTTAAAATAAAAACATATTTTTATACATATATTTCAAATTTTCAATTTACATACAACATAATTTTATATATTTACATATCTAACCTCTAAACTATCCATAAAACACTCTAGTATCATAATCTATAAAAACATAGTATGACAACATGTATTTCGTCTAAAAAAATTAATCTTGATGATGTTTATAATGTGATATTAAAAAATGTACGTATTATATAAGAAAAAAAAATCAAATTTTATACATAATTCTTATAAATAATAAATAAATAAAGTGTCAAACCTTTGGGCGTAAAATATGAAAACAGTTAGCGGGCTTTGAATCAAAAGAGTCCGCTAGCTGAGCAAGAGTCCACCGGAGGTGATCCCCGGCGGCCGGCCTCCGGGGTTTGGGGCAGATGACCGACCGGTCGCCGGAGGGGAAGTAATATTTATGTTGAATGCCTAAGCCCCTTGCCATCACTAGCTACTATAAAATGAAGAGAGAGAGAGAGAGAGAGAGAGAGAGAGTTAAGAGAGAGAAAAAAATGGAAGAAATGAAGATGAAGAGAGGGAAAGGATTGAAAAGGAAGAAATGAAGATGAAGAGAGGGAAAGGATTGAAAGGCTTATAAGGAAAACAAATTCGAATAAGAGAATAAAAAATTATTCTAAAAAAAAAAAGAAAATAAAAAAAATAGTAATAAAACCCCGGAGATAATACGGCATGTAAAAGAGATTTTTTAAACGAAATAATTAAAGACGTCGCTAAAATAAAAAAAACTAAAATAATTTGGTTATTTAATGCTATTAAAAATTAATAAATTAAAAATATATTTGACTAAAAAGTACGATCGAAAACTTTATGTTAGTCAAACTTTTAATATTAATTATTGACATATTCAAATATTTCCAACATAGACTTAGCAATTAATTATACGACATAATTTTTTAATAAGTTTATAATTAAATAATTGTGACTTGACGCATCGTAATTATGTCTACAACAAGAACAAAGTGGGTTAATGCAACCATTGGCAAGTTGGTGGATCTATTTTAATTGGGCTATGGCCCATTAATTTTTTCCTTATAATAGAGAAGAAGGTCCAATGAAAGTTTATGCAACAAAAAGGATTTAAGGAAGGATATAGTCTGTAAGATATTGAACACATTACAATTAGAGGTTATAGGGCCAACCAGATCTTAGAAGACGTGTTTTTTACTAGATGGAGATAGTGGGCCTCACTAATTTTGTCTGAGATAGCCTAAAAAAGAAGAAAGTGTTGTTCTGCCAGCCCATAAGATTTAAGGGTGGAATTTGGTGTTGATTAATAAAAAGAATAGCTTCTGCAAATTAGGAAAGACCATTCTACAAGGGATAGGTGTTTCAATAGGTAGGGATTTGGGCTTAAATCAATCTATGATGTTGATTTTCTTCCCCTTCGCCTACTTTTTCTAAGGTCTGATTTTGTGGCTTTATGAGAACACTCTTCTAATTAGTTAAGGCAGCTTGACTCATCTACCACTTTGAGATGATAATAGGTCTTTCTTAAGGGACTAAGGTCCTAGTTACTGCAAGCAAAAGGCAAATGTGGTTGGACAAAGAGTTTGACACATCTTTCGGGCATGAATAAGTTGGCATATGTAAAAATTGAAATTTATGTGTTGAACATGTAAATACATAGGAATTAATTAAGTGATATTTATGTAAAATCTTCCTTTTGATTAGAGATATGAGGTGTAAGTAACTCTCATTTTTTTTTCATTTAAAAAAA